TTAATCCCAGAAAGGCCATGCCTTACAAGTAAGCCCAGGAATAAGGATAATACCCTTGGACTATGGACAAAACCAAAATAAACCTACTTGAACAAAACCTAAAAACCAAGCTTCCACAAGATCAAGAGGATATGCTGGTAATTTAAATGCCTGCTGAAACAAAACAACATTCTTTAGAGGAAGACAATAAAATACAGTCTTTTCAATGTATTATTCAAAATGTCCAGAATATAATTTAAAAATTACAGACATGTGAAGAAGCAAGAAAATGTGATTCATGATCAAAAGAAATCATAATCAATAAAATCAAACCTACTGATGACCCAGATGTTGGAATTAGTAAACAAGGACTTTTAAATGACTGTTATAAATATGTACAGGATTTTTAGGAAATGAAGGATAGAATAAATGAGTGGATAGAGAATCTCAGAAGAGAAATGGTACCTATAAAAATAGACCAAGTGGGCATTCTAGGACCAGAAGACACAGTACCTGATATAAAACATACTTTGTATGAAATTAATAGCAGATTAGATACTATAGAAGAAAGAATTAGCAAACTTGAATACAAAGTAATAGAAATGATCCAAACTGAAGCATTCAGAGAAAAAAAAAAGAAAAATAAGTAAATAGTGACTTGTGGGACAACACCATGAAGAGGAGAGAGAGAATTATGAAGAAGTATGAAGGGATAATAGCCAAAAACTGCCATACAGAATCCAAAATTTAGTGAAAAAGATCAACTCATAGATCCAAGAAGCTCAGTGAACTCCATGTAGGATAAATACAAAGAAAACCACACCTATTGACACCTTAGTCAAATTGCTAAAAATCAAAGGAAAAAAAGAAATCTTGAAAGAAGTTAGAGGGGAAAAGACCCACTATGTACACAGGAATAATAAGGAAGAGAGCTGACTTCTCATCAGAAACCACATAGGCCAGAAAACAATGGAAAGGTATTTTTTAAATGCTGAAGAAAAAAAAAAAGGCGGTTTGTGATATGTGAAGCTTAAGATGCCAGTGAGACTCTGATGTTGCAAGATACAGCAAAGCCCGCTGGCAAACACCTACCTCTGTAACATACATTATCCATGCACTGCCCACCACCACATACATGGTATCTCAGTCAAGTATCCCAATATTCCCAACAGAAGAAAAAATCGTACATGTCAGAAATGTGATAAGACATGAAATCATTTATACAAATTATGGGACATAATTAAGATTTTTTTTATTCTGCCATCATGTAAACATCACACATGTTGCACCCTGATAAGAATAATAAAAAGAAAAATGAAGATTCCCTTCTGCTTAACTGCCTTAGTCACATGATGCTTTGATTCAACAGGCAGGTGGAAATGTAGGAATGGTGTTCTTCAAGGTAGGATGTCAGGGGGATGCTGAGATGCAGGAGCCATCAAGAGAGAAGTTTGATGAGGATGTTCTGGGTAATGTGGGGAGGAAGCTGGGAGCAGAGAGGGGCACACATTTCCCGAGCAACTGCTGGCTGAGTGCCAGGCATTGTGCTGAGCACTTAAGGTGCATTAGCTTTCTCAACCCTCACACTAACCCTGAAGAGCATTATCATTCACTCTTTTGAAATGCAGAAACAGAGTTTGAGAGAGGATAAGAAAGTTGCCCCAGTTAATGACAGAGGTGGGATTTGAGCCCACCTGACAGGCCCTGAGCCACAACTCTTCACCCTCCCCCAGTTAGCCACGTTTTTTTGCTCTGCTGCATGAGGCCGTACCAAAGGAGAGCTCTACACGGCCTGCATACACCCCAGGACTCAGGAAACTCACAGCCCAGTGCAGGAGGCGACAAAAGGTACTAGAGCCAACATTTATTGAACATGTACTGTGTACTAGCCAGTGTGTCTTACCCTTAATGTGTCATGTCATATTTAATTTTTTCAACAGCCCTATGAGATAAATCATCTCCATTTTACAGATGAGGACAGTGAGGCTCAGAGCTACTGAGTGGTAGACCTAGAATTTCACTCCATGGCTCAACTTCCCCAGCAGCATACTCATCCCCCAAGGCCACCAGAGGGGCAGGGGTTGTGCAGAGGTGGACAGGACAACACCACTCCAGTGTTCCTCCACTACTTGATGGGATCCTAGGACCGTTGAATTATGAAAGCAAATTTGTTCTAGTAATCAAAGCACTTGGGCTGCACCTACTTCCAGAGGGAGAGGAAGTCCTGGGCACCGCCCCTCCCTCTGCGACCCATGGGTCCCACTGTCTCTAATTTCTTATCTCACCTGGATGGCTACAACCATCTCCTATTTGCTCCAGATGCCTTGTTTGCAGCTCTTATCACTCCAGTCTCCACTCAACAACTAATGAGGCCTTTTAAAAATAAAAGCAAGTCAGGACACTCTCTTGCTTAAAATCTTTCAGAGGCTGCCGAGTGTCCTTGGGATAAACTTCCACCTCTAACAAGGCTCACCTCCTGCCCTGCTCCCCTTCTCTCAGACACACTTTGCTCAGCGCCTTGAAAGAACTCCCTGCAACTGCTTTTGCCTCAGGGTCTGTTCCAGTTACTATGGCCATGTAACGAATTACCACCAAAATTTATCAGCCTTAAACCACCATGTTCTCGTCCTCCTGGACTCTGTAGGTCAGGAACCCAGATACGGAACAGCAGAATGGCTTACCTGTGCCCCGGATGTCCGGCGCCTCAGCAGGAAGCCTCTCTAGCTGGGGGTGACTCATGGCTAGGGGTTGGAATCATCGAGAGACATCTTGCCTCGCATGTCTGGGGCGGACGCTGGCTGTCAGCTGGGACCTATGCATGGCTTCCACATGGCAGCTTCTGGGTAGCTGGACTGTGGCTCAAGGCTCCAAAAGGGAGAGTCCCAGTGAAGAAAGCAGGGACTGCACTGCCTGATGTCACTCGGCCTTGGAAGTCAGGTCATGTCACTTCACTGCATTCTACTGGCTATAAGCAAGTCACAAACTCACCCAGATTCCAGGCTAGGTGGTGGAGACCCTACCTCTCAATAGAAGGAATGTCAAGGTCTCACTGTGAACTGGGAGATATTGCTGGGCCATCTTTGAAAGGTCTTTACACAGTATTGTCTATAAAGGTCTGCCACATGGTCTTTACACAGTATTGTCTCTGCCCCGTTCATCCTCTCTCCAACCTCACGGCCTCTAATTCCTACCTGTCCTTCAGGTTCCAGCTGAAGCCCCACTTCCCCCAGGAGCCTGCCCTGACTGCCCCACCCCAGTGTAACCAGGCCCCCTGCTTAGATGTTCCTTCAGTGCCCAGCACGCCTTATGCGCCCCAGTCCATCTGTCTGTCTCCTTTCTGACTGCGAAGTCTGTGAGTCAGGGACTTTGGCTTCCTGGGGTTAGCTCAGAGCAGGTGCCCAGGTTGTGCACTGTGAACACATCCTGGAGATGAAAAGAAGGAAATATGCCAGCCTCCAGGCTGTCAAGGGAAAGGAGAAGCGGTGAGCAGCTCAGGGAGAAGAATCCAGCTCTAGCCTGTGTGCTCTTGCTGATCCTGAGCCCCCAGCCCACCACAGCCCCACCTCACGTGGCTCCACTGGGGCCCCCGGGGCCCTCCAGGCCCTCTGGAGAACCCACAGACTGGGAAGGCGTCTTCACCCCCACAGCAGATGTGTGGTGGATTTCTGTCCAGTCCTGTCTGGCTGAAGTGAGCTGTAAGATACTGGGGTCTTCCGGCAAAGACTCACCTAAAAACGGACAGGACTGACAGACGGGAAGGGAGCAAGTTCAAGGCGGTGGGAGAAGCTGAAGCAAGAAGGAAAGTCTGCTCTCTGTACCGACAGGAGTGGTGACCCAGGGGCGGAAGGACCAGGGTGCACCCGCTCACCCAGGGACCAGCAGCACAATTCACTGGGCCCAGGGGTAGGGAGACCCCACTGAAGCTTCTCTCCCAGTTTGTACCCAAACGTCATCACCACCAGCACCACCATCACTAATTTTTTTTTAAAGGAAAGAAGAGCCACCACCAATATTCACCTGCTGCCCGGGCAGAGGGACAACCCTGCACCCCACTGCTCACTTCCTGGCACCTGCCATTCTCCCTCTCTGCCTGCTGGTGCTGAGTCTGCAGAATTACCTGCTTTTGGGGGCCAGTGCCAGCTTCTCCTTCCTGCTTCTCCCCCTCCTCTGACCATAAACATTTACAAGTTCCACATCAGTGACTGACTCCGTGCTGAGGACTCTGGTGGATCCCCATTATTTGTTTCTCAAAGAGGATGATGGAGGTCACAGCAGAGGTTCTGGGAGCCCACCCCTGGCCCACCGAACTCCAGAGGTCTGCGTCCAGGCCGCTGAGGTGACTCTCCCAGTGCCAAGCCCTTTCCCGCATGACCTCACAGAATCCTCAGCTCAGGGCTTGGAGGCAGATTACTAGTCTCAGCTCATTTACTGATGCACGGAAGGGATGCCCGGAGAGGTGAGGTGGCCTAGCCAGGACCACTTGGGTGGGAAGTGACGGAGTGGTTCCCCAGTGCTGCCCCTACCCCCAGTCTATGGTATTTCCACTGTCCTTAGCCACTGCCTCTGGCCAACCTTCCCAGCACAGATCCTGCTGGCTTCTGTGCAGACAGCTTTGGGCTCCCTCCCCAGGGTTCAGATATGAGAGGGGGGGCCTTTAAGAAGGGCAGCTGATAAGGACTGGCCATCTGTGTGGGGCTGCCCCACCTGAGGTTCTGGGGGGCAGTGCGTGGGTGAGGCAGCCAGCCAGGAGGAGGCCCGGCTCCCTGCTGCCCGCACAGCTGGAGCAGATCTAAACCCATTACCTGAGTCAGAGGGGATGGGAGCTCTCGGCCTCAGCACAGCGCACCAGGAGCTGCCCAGGCTTTTGGGAGGGGCGGGCCAGGAGCGGAGCTGGCCAGGCTGCTCATGCCAAGGAAGGAGGGGACCCGGTGAGGCCGCCAACGCGGGCTGGGGCGGGAGGGGCCAGGCCAGCTGGGGCCGGAGCTAGTGTGACATCACCGGGCGGCCCGCCTCTGTCTGGGCTGAGGGGAGGCCCGGAGCCTTTCTGGGGCCTGGGGGATCCTCTTGCACTGGTGGGTGGAGAGAAGTGCCTGCAGCCAACCAGGGTCAGGCTGTGCTCACAGTTTCCTCCGGCAGCATGTAAAGGCTCCACAAAGGAGTTGGGAGTTCAAATGAGGCTGCTGCAGACGGCCTGAGGATGGACCCCGAGCCCTAAGCCCAGCTGCCTGCGTCCCGACCTGCAGAGCATGGCACTGAGGCAGCCCCGGGCCCCGGCGGGGCGAGGAGACAGGTTGTGAGCAGCCCTGGCAGGACCCGCAGGCAGCCCCCGCCCCATCCACGGCTAGAGCCCTCTGTGGAGGCAGAGCAGAGCAAGCAGAGGCCAGGGAGGCAACTCGGGGACCCCGCCTGCAGGCCATGGACGGGCTGCCCTGCTGACAGCCGGGGTGAAGCCTGTGAGGAGTGGCCCTGGGAGCCGAGCAGGAGAGAAGAGGTAAGGGGCCAGCCCTGAAGCACTGCGGGACAGGGGCGAGGGGCAGCAGCTGGTCCCACGTCCAGGGTTCAAGAACTCTGACCCCTCTGTCTGTGAGGGGTGAGCTGGACCCCAGAGGGGGTGGCTCCCTGGAGCCCAACAAGGCGTCTGCCAGGGCAGGACCTGTACACTTGGGCAGAGGGTGTGCTCGGGGGTGTGGGACTGTGGGCTGGGGTTTTGAGGACCTCATCGTTAAGCCCTACTCTCCTTCAGACAAAGAGCCTTTGGGGTGAAGGCAGGCGGCTCTGGGGCACGGCTCCACAGCCGGGGCATGTGCCTGAGTGTAGGCGTGTGCCTGTGTGTAGGTGTGTGCCTGAGGGGGACAGCAACCCAGAGGAGTAGCTGGCGGCAGCCGTGGCCCAAGGACCCAGAAGTCGTATTTCAGGTTTGGGTTCCTAGGCACCCTAGCTAGAGACTGTGCCGAGGCGAAAGCAAAAGCAACCTATCCTGAGCAAGCCGAGAGCCGGGGATCCTGGCTGAGGTGGGCGGCTGGGGAGGAGAGGAGCACAGGGCCAGAGGGACACAGCAGCCAGATGTCTCCGGCACCGTGACTCGGGGCGAAGGGCTGCCTGGCTCTCCCTGCAGGTCCCAGGACACCTGACCCCTCCCAGCCCTGGAAGGCGCCCCAGGTCTCCTGTAGGCGGTACATGCCAGGGCAACAGGGGAGGACGAGGCTCCCCAGCACCCGGCAGGGGGGACAGCCGGGCTCCACATTCCCAGTCCCTTGAAAGGGCTCAGCATTAGATAACATTTCCAAACAGAAATTCCTCACTGATCCCTCCCTTCTCCTTCTGCGATATGTGTGTCACGGGTCAGCAGCTATCGCCTCTGCTGTGGGATCATGAGAGCTCCCAGAGGCCAGTTCAGTTACTTAGAAAAGGACCTCCTTTCACTGCGGCTCTGAGGAAAGCTGAGAATGCCACTTCCGAAGCTGGCCAAAGGCTCCCCACGTGTATTTTTCCAAACTGTGGCAGAGTAAGGCAGTGCTCATGAGGTAGGTTCAAATCCCAGCTGTTCTGCTTACAAGCCAAATGACTCTGGCAGAACACAAAGCCTCTCCAGGCCTCAGTTTCCTTAGCTATAAAATGGGACAGTAATAGTGCCCATCCCTTAGTAATAGCTAACACTTACATTGCAGTTAGCCTGAGCAAGATGTTTACCAATTTGTGGAATCCACAGGACACATAACACAGGTACTATTTATTCATCATCATTTCACAGGTGAGGAAACCGAGGCAGACATTAAGTGGTGTGCCAAAGGCCACACAGTTAGTTAGTGACAGCATCAAGCTGGAACCCAGCACTTCGAACCACATTCCACTGCTTTCTAGGAGGAGCACATGGGCTCCTGCCCCAGGAGGCCTTAGTTCAGTGTCTGGTGTGCGGCAAACCCTCAGACAATGTTAGTCACGGAGTAGCATGAACCACAACAACCAGGACTGCAGAGAGGGAGGAGAAGAGACCTGGACACTTTCTGCCCTGGATACATCCTGCTAGGGCTGTCACAGTCCCCACAAGGCCAGGCCAATGCTGCGGCTGCCACTGCCACCCACACCGGGGGGGCTGCGCAGGAGCCGGAGGGGGGGCTTATGTCTGAGCTTGTCTGGGACCTGGAAGCCCACATTTAGGAGGCGTGCAAACGTACTGCCCGAAGCACCCCAGGAGCAGCTGAGGCGACCAGCCCAGCAAGAGCACCCTCTCACCACAGGGACTCGACTGGTCTGCCTGCCTGTCCCTCCACCAGAACCACGCGGGTGAGGAGAGGGGTCTGCAAGAGGTCCCTGGAGCAGGACCTGTCCCCCGAGGTCAGGTCTGTCCTGGGGATGCAGTGGGAGGCAATGATCCCCCCCAAGCTGCACCCCCATCACCAAGCCTGTCTCCATGGTGGCCAAGTCTGGTGGACCTTTTGTTTTTCTTTTTTTGTTGAGGTACAAACATAAAATGAACAAATCTTAGCATGCAGCTCACTGGATTCTGACACGTATAAACACTCATGCAACCATCACCCACATCAAGACATCAAAGATTCCAATTTTTTCCTTTTTCACCTGTTTCACCCATCTCCTCACCTGCCTCCCCTACTGAACCCCCAGTCTGTTCTCTGTATTTATGAGTCTCTATTTTGTTTGTTTGTTTATTTGTTTTGTCTTTAAGATTCCACATGTAAGTGAAGTCACGTAGCATTTGTCCTTCCCTGTCTACAAGTCCCTCACACTGGCCACCTCTCACCCAGGGAGCAGCCTCCCTTCCGGGGCCCCAGAGGCCTCAGTGGGCTCCCTGAGCTCCTGGAAGCACACCGAAAAGCTGATGTTAAATACCTGCTTCTGTAGCACAAGGCCTCTGGTGGAGCAACGGGTCTCTCTGCCCCAGCCCAGAGCGGCGGCGGCTCACCATGTTCCCTGAACAGCCGAGGCCGAGCAGGGGCTCTGGCCAACCTCACAGGCCTGATGAATGGAAATTAGATTCATTATTCCTCAGTGAAGGCAGTCATGGCAGAACAGACAAAAATGTGAAGCGCATGGCCCAGGAGGACTGCACGCTACTGCCATAAGCTCGCAGGCAGAGCAGCTAAGTCCTTCCTCCATCCACACCTCATCCCACATGAGTTATTAAGTACCCATGGGGCTAAACAAGGCACGTGCATCATCTCATTTCATCCTCAATACAACCTGAGGAAGTAGGCTCTATTTTAACAACCCCTTTTACAGATGAGAAAACTAAGGCTCGGAGAGGTTAAGTATCTTGCCCAAGGTCACACAGTTTGTGATTGTGTGGGACTTGAACCCTGGTCAATCTGGCCCCAGTGTCCATGCCTTTCCCCAAGTCACTCCACTGCCCTGTTCAAAGCAAGTTAACTTCCTTTTCCCGAAGTTAGCATCCCTGCCCAGTGCCCCCAGCAGCCAAGTCTGTTTTGGTCACTGTCCTATAGAATGCTGCACCACTCCATCTGAAAATCACATATCTACCCATTTCCGCTGCATCATTTGCTTGTCATAAAAGCCCACCTCTGAGACAGAACTGGCATACCAGAGGCCAGTTCAGTTACTTAGAAAAGGACCTCCTTTCACTGCGGCTCTGAGGAAAGCTGAGAATGCCACTTCCGAAGCTGGCCAAAGGCTCCCCACGTGTATTTTTCCAAACTGTGGCAGAGTAAGGCAGTGCTCACGAGGTAGGTTCAAATCCCAGCTGTTCTGCTTACAAGCCAAATGACTCTGGCAGAACACAAAGCCTCTCCAGGCCTCAGTTTCCTTAGCTATAAAATGGGACAGTAATAGTGCCCATCCCTTAGTAATAGCTAACACTTACATTGCAGTTAGCCTGAGCAAGATGTTTACCAATTTGTGGAATCCACAGGACACATAACACAGGTACTATTTATTCATCATCATTTCACAGGTGAGGAAACCGAGGCAGACATTAAGTGGTGTGCCAAAGGCCACACAGTTAGTTAGTGACAGCATCAAGCTGGAACCCAGCACTTCGAACCACATTCCACTGCTTTCTAGGAGGAGCACATGGGCTCCTGCCCCAGGAGGCCTTAGTTCAGTGTCTGGTGTGCGGCAAACCCTCAGACAATGTTAGTCACGGAGTAGCATGAACCACAACAACCAGGACTGCAGAGAGGGAGGAGAAGAGACCTGGACACTTTCTGCCCTGGATACATCCTGCTAGGGCTGTCACAGTCCCCACAAGGCCAGGCCAATGCTGCGGCTGCCACTGCCACCCACACCGGGGGGGCTGCGCAGGAGCCGGAGGGGGGGCTTATGTCTGAGCTTGTCTGGGACCTGGAAGCCCACATTTAGGAGGCGTGCAAACGTACTGCCCGAAGCACCCCAGGAGCAGCTGAGGCGACCAGCCCAGCAAGAGCACCCTCTCACCACAGGGACTCGACTGGTCTGCCTGCCTGTCCCTCCACCAGAACCACGCGGGTGAGGAGAGGGGTCTGCAAGAGGTCCCTGGAGCAGGACCTGTCCCCCGAGGTCAGGTCTGTCCTGGGGATGCAGTGGGAGGCAATGATCCCCCCCAAGCTGCACCCCCATCACCAAGCCTGTCTCCATGGTGGCCAAGTCTGGTGGACCTTTTGTTTTTCTTTTTTTGTTGAGGTACAAACATAAAATGAACAAATCTTAGCATGCAGCTCACTGGATTCTGACACGTATAAACACTCATGCAACCATCACCCACATCAAGACATCAAAGATTCCAATTTTTTCCTTTTTCATCTGTTTCACCCATCTCCTCACCTGCCTCCCCTACTGAACCCCCAGTCTGTTCTCTGTATTTATGAGTCTCTATTTTGTTTGTTTGTTTATTTGTTTTGTCTTTAAGATTCCACATGTAAGTGAAGTCACGTAGCATTTGTCCTTCCCTGTCTACAAGTCCCTCACACTGGCCACCTCTCACCCAGGGAGCAGCCTCCCTTCCGGGGCCCCAGAGGCCTCAGTGGGCTCCCTGAGCTCCTGGAAGCACACCGAAAAGCTGATGTTAAATACCTGCTTCTGTAGCACAAGGCCTCTGGTGGAGCAACGGGTCTCTCTGCCCCAGCCCAGAGCGGCGGCGGCTCACCATGTTCCCTGAACAGCCGAGGCCGAGCAGGGGCTCTGGCCAACCTCACAGGCCTGATGAACGGAAATTAGATTCATTATTCCTCAGTGAAGGCAGTCATGGCAGAACAGACAAAAATGTGAAGCGCATGGCCCAGGAGGACTGCACGCTACTGCCATAAGCTCGCAGGCAGAGCAGCTAAGTCCTTCCTCCATCCACACCTCATCCCACATGAGTTATTAAGTACCCATGGGGCTAAACAAGGCACGTGCATCATCTCATTTCATCCTCAATACAACCTGAGGAAGTAGGCTCTATTTTAACAACCCCTTTTACAGATGAGAAAACTAAGGCTCGGAGAGGTTAAGTATCTTGCCCAAGGTCACACAGTTTGTGATTGTGTGGGACTTGAACCC